TAACTAAAACGTAGTCAATTTGAGCTTTATTGCTATGGTATAAAGTTCATATTAAATTACAAGCACTCACTGTTGTCTAAGCAATGTAGGTGTGTTCCTAACGTCAAAGATCATATCTATCACAAAACAATGTGCGTGTGTGCGTTGGAGCACAGAATACATAGTTGGAGGAGTTTAATGTCGCGTTCCGAAACTCGCGTTTCTTTTGTATTAGTTTCGGCACGCGAGATAAAATGCATCAGTTTCCACGTCATTACATGTATTGCCGGAACATTGATGAAAATACGCTCTGTAGTAGCAAAGCTGTTGGGTCCTAGATAGCTCATTGGTTAGAGCAGTCCCTGGATCGCGAATGGGTTCGAGTCCCATTCCGGGGTACAGGTAGATGGATTCTTCCAGCATTTTTCCTTGAGAATGTTTATATATTTTTTTAATTCGAATAGTTTACTTTTATAATGCTGTTGTGTGTAATGTGTTTTTATGATCATAAAAATCTCTTTTTTCTATATTTAATACTATTACTATTAATTCATTGCAATAATAATTATGATTCACATGATTAACAATAAAGCGATTACTTACTTTTAAATCCTTATATATGTTTTATTTAATTATTTTTTATTCACAACGCCCTATCACCAGGGTGACGGTTCTGTTCAGGAGAATTTTTTTAAATACGTAGGCAAAAAAACTGCCACATTACAAATCTTTTTGACAGGACGAAGTCTGTCGGGTCAGCTAGTTGTTTAATAAAATTGATTTCCCTTACGTTTTACTGATCTGTTACTTTCGGTTATCTCACAAAGTTATGAAAAAACCTCTAAGATTTTTTTTCAAAAATATTTACTAATATATATAATTATATAATCATTGTAAATTAAAGTTATGCAGAGAAAAATTCTAACATATGTATCGATCATACAGCGTTAGTTTCCCCTGCACATACTTACGATAATATCGGGTACAGTTCCAGGTGCATCCAGTTAGATCCAAAGTTCCGAACCATTTAAATTTAAAACAATAAATATCGGTGATAAACATACAACTTAACTATTCAGTTTATCATAGTAGACCAAAGTAGTAGATATTTTTTCTCCTACAAGCAGCATAATCATATTATGACTGCCAAAATTGTCCGACTCATGATCATAAAAATAATATTCATATTTAATTTTCTACTTCAAACAGCAATAAGTATGGTATTAATACTAAATTATACACTTATTCACTGATTATAAAAGTTTTGGGGACGATTTTATCATGTAAAAATATTTGAAAAAGAGCATTTTTTGATAGTTTGGTCTTTGTCATAAAATCAACATTAGGCTAAAAGCTTATACCGTATTTTAATATATAAACATCTAGTAATGTAAAACTTCATTTCTCATTAAAAGAATCCTTATTTGCACCAAATTCATTGTCACAACAATTTTTATACAAGTTTTCCAAAGTTGCGCATGTCATGAAGCCGGAGCCAAGGTGAGGGTTGAGCTCATTGGTGGCTTGCCTTTATAGCTCAATGTTGTAACCTTTCTTGTCGGCGCGATTAAAAGGTTCACAAATTAGGGTCCAAATGACCAAGAAAATCCTGAGAAATAGGATAGTTTCAAGCTCAAGTATCTATTATAACTAATCACATTCATTGCATCAGTTTCTCTATTCCTTAAATACTTCCTCATTATATATGAATCCATACAGATTTTCTTTCTGCTGTAATAACATAAAATTGATTTTTTTAAATAATAAGTCGAAGTCTTGTTTATCTCGTAATTCGAAGTTTTTTTAAATAGGTATCAAAATATTGTTTGAAGTGCAGCTCTAAAAGCATCTTTATAAGCACCTTTATATAGTTTTAAAATACGATATTTATTGTCTTTAGTTTAATTAGGAACAGCACTGGTCTCTTAGACCATCATAAGGCCATTGAAAAGTTGACAGAGCCCCAGGGCACTTCGTGCTTTATGGATGAAGATAAATTACTTACTATATAACATGAAATTTTAATAATAATAATAATAAGATATGAAAGACCGAATGTATAAATAAATTTATATTATCAATTGAATATGTAATACCTAATTAAATTTTATGGGAATAGTTAAAGCAATGCATACCAAATGAAATTAATAACAAAAATTACCAATAAACTGTCAACTTAAAAATTAGTTTAAATAAAGGGTAATCGCATGTTTATGTAGGCGAATGTTAAAATTATAAAAATTAGATGTAGGAAAACGGTAGACCGAAGTACCTCGGTAATTTTCTACTTCGACGTTATTTTTTCACCTGTGACTTAGTGGCATTAGTTAGGTTGGACATTGTAACATTTTCTAAATAAACTGTTTTCTCATACATATATTTTCAATTTGTTCCTGATAATTTTCTGCCGCCTTTTGCCCGCGACTTCGTCCGTGTGGTATTATTACTTTGGGCAGCATATTTTTTTCCAAAAACGCTGTTGTTTTTCGAGTTGATGATGAAATTGCCTTGATGTTTGATTTCGAAGATACTAATACAAAAAAAAAACAACAACTAACCAATATGTTTCAGCACTTTATCTTTGAAAACTTGAGAAACATTAATCCAATCCAATCGAATTTGAAATATAGATGTAAAAAACAGTTCTGAAGTTTACACAAAATTAAATCGAAAACATAGTCTACGCAAAAGTCTTTGAAAGAAAGGGTAGACCAGGCCACGTAGTATAACAAAGCTTAAATTTCTAACTACATTTTATTTTAAAACACAATTTTGAGCAAAACAGTACGCTGTAGAATACTTAACGCGGTGTAGCATAGGTAGTTCAAAATATATAAAAATATTTTTTCTTTCGTAAACGAAATGTTCTTTCTTTCGTAATCCAATGGAAGTAATTTGAACATTTTCAAGAAAAACAAATTTAAAATATATAAATTAAATATTGGCGAGACTTACGTAACTATTTCACGATATGATCACTTACTCTTGTCCACATCATGAAAAAGTCATACTATCAGCCGCTAATCATTCATGTGCACATCATGATGTGGGCAGCAAGATTTTTCTATTTCATGAAATGGCTGGTCACATCATGAATTACTAATTTCTACGAACTGGCCACGACATATATACTTGGAAACCTATACTAAGGTCTCACATAATATGTGTGAACAAATGTAATAAAATAAGATATGTGAAAATTATCACCTTGAAAATCTTAGGTTGAAACCCAGCAATACATACCTCCTCAATAAATTTATTACCGATGAATACAAATAATTGCAATTTCTTTAATCTAAACTTGGAGCAACATTTTAATGCTTTTGATTTAAAGCCTGCGCAAAGTTCTTTGATCAAATTAATAGGCCATCAGCTAGCTGAAAAGTTATTCTAGCTAAACTTTCTAGGAAAAAAAATCTACGATTTAGAATTCATTTACACTATCTGGCGTAGTTCATTTATATATAATATAAAAATCATTTTTCTTTCGTAAACAAAATTACTTGTATTTGGACATTTTTATCCATTAAAATTTCAAAAATGTAATATTTACTCAAATATCAATTTTCATCGCTATACAATAAAACATTTTGTAATATTATATATTAATATTAGGTAAATTTATTACAATGACATACAATGCTTGCTATGGTAACATTTTGATTCCCATAAAATCTTTCACTCCCATTTTTATCCCTTCAAGTGCTAGTTTTCGGGATAAAATATAACCTATTAGCTTTCTAGTCATATACTACCCAAATACCAATTTTCATCGACATAGGTCCATAAACAAAGAAGTTACATACAAACTTTTTCACCCATTTTGGCCCCCTTCGGGATGGAATTTCCAAAAATCTGTTCTTAGTACACCTCTACGTATTAAGGGGAAAGTTTCCTCCAAATTACAAGTTTCTACAACCAGCGGTTTAGGCTTTGCGTTGTCTGTCAGTCAGTAAGTCAGGATATATATGTATATAGATAACATTTTCATATAAAATGATACCAGGACGAAACCATATGAACTGGCACCGTCAAAAAGTTTTCAAAGCTCATGTAGAGTCAAGGTCAACTCTACAATCCTTAACTTTACAAACTCTACACCATAGTCAAAACGTGGCTTAGACCATGGCTACTGCCGTGATAAATACCTACATTAATAGTTGTTGTAAACAACCAAGCCAAATGTTTTGCATAAAGTGTGGATTATGCAATTTAATGCCTTGTACCATAAAATCGTATTCATTAATAATTTCCATTAGGGTAAGTATATTGGCATGGGAACGCTGCGAAGTTTCTAGAAACAATAAAACTCTTAAAGTACGGTACTCCTTCAAGCGGGACAAGCACCTTATTTATTTTCCAGTTATACCAAAGTTTATTGCTGAGCCTATGAGTTCATACACCCAGAGATTTTATAGTTACAAAACCAAAACTTTATTTTTGTTATTGGGTGCCTGACCCTAGCAGTACATCAACCGGCTAGCCTTTTTGTTATACGATGCAATGGTTCGAATATATACCTAGTCTATTATGAACTTATTTATTTTCGGTATCAATTGCACACACCTATATCGCTTGGCATATAAATTTATTTCGAAAATGTATCTACAGCAGATTCCTAAAATAACACCAGTCAGTGTTACTCGGATTCAGCTCAGATATTCTCTGCGGTGGCAAAGTGCTATGTCATTCATACCAGTTATCAATATTACGGTGTGGTGTGACGTCACGCAACTCGCGACGGTCAACAACCCGTTGCGGTTGGCGGTAACGATCACTACTTTCACTTTCGTAAATGTAATATCGTTCAACAGCGCCATCTTGTGACGAATAGAATTATAGTAACAACGCCATCTATAAGGAAGTAGTAAAGATTCAAATAATACATCTTAAATAGATGACGCTGAAGAGAAACAACTTAATTTACGGCGAGTAGTGATATTATTAAAAAACTCATCACTTTGCTTCTCATTTTTTTTCATACATTGAATAAAGGTTGCAAAATAAACTGGTAAATAACTTCGTAAGGTTTTATTAACAGAAACATAAAAAAATATGTATAAATATATGAATTCCACAGCCTTGATCTGGAATGCTTAGCACCAATGAGAATGATCCTTATTTATTAATTACAACATTATTGTACTTGAATCTGATAAACTATTAAAATAATTATTTCTACAATGTATTATGACCACTTCTTAAATAAGGTAAGACTACAATAATGCAGCAGCAGCTTCATCAATTATCCAGTACAAGGAACCATTGACAGGATTCACTCTAGCAGCTGGTAAATCTTCTTTATTTTTTAATATTCTCTGAAAACGAAACAGAAATACTTTTAGTTTAATACCTATTAGAGATAAACAAAAAACATTTTTTCATAGACTACAGACAGTGCTCTGTAATGAAATATTTATACTTTAGGAAACACTCTAGGAAACAACACTTGTATAGAATAGCAATATATGAAGTGATGCATATAAAAAATAACTTATAGCTTTCATCCTATATAAATATATTTTAACATTGTCCCTTGACTTACATAAATGATTTAAATTATATAAAAACATCAAAAACTGGTTTTAAACTCACCTTCACCATTTCTGCTTTGCTAGAGCCACCAATGGTGAATATACAATTCCTTGCCTCATTCACAACAGCATATGTCAATGTTATTCTTGCTGGAGGTGGTTTTGGAGAATCAGTAATTGCTGCTACATTTAAATGAATTTCATCCAATAGTGGATGATTAGGAAACAGTGAACATGTGTGCCCGTCTGGACCCATGCCCAACAGAAGTAAGTCAAATTTAAAATTATTACCATTGAATACCAGTTTTAATTTATCTGCATAATCTTTAGCTGCTTCTTCAGCTGAAAATGGCAATACTAAAATATTATTTGATTATTGACTCTATTACAAAAAAAAGATCTCAGGACCATCAACAACCATCCTAATAAATATTTATTTGGTAATAAAAACTTATCTAAATTTACTTTTAAACTTTAATAAAACAAATAAGTATATTAAACACTTATTCTAATAACAAATAAGGGTTTGGGGATAGTATAATCACCTGAGAGCCCCTGTTTGATAGTAACAAACTGTTCCTGCTTCAGGCCAGTTCTAGGTATTAATTGCCGTTTATATATACCAAAAGTGGAATCTTCACTCTCCTCAGGTACAACACGCTCATCGCAAAAAGCGAGCACCCATTTCGACCAATCTGTGTCTAGTTTCGGTAAACCTTCACACAAGTATTTGACTACAGATCCTCCTGTGAAACAAAATAATCTTTATAAAAAAAATTGCGAGTGTTTTTATAAAAAAAAAAAATACAATAAGAACCTTTATTTAACAATTTTAAGTTGTGCTATTCAAAATTTTCATGGAATGACTTAACAAAGATCGTAAGAGGCGTAGTTGAAGTGCAAAAGTACTTATTAGAGGTCAAAATCTACTACCTGAGAGGCCTACGTAAAACTTTCCTCGGTTGTGTATAGAATCACTGGAAATTTTTTGAATGTAAGACGACAACTTATTAATTATCTCTTGTTCGTCATTCACTTTTATAGTAGTCATTTTTCTTCAATATCTTAAAAAGTACTCTTCGATCTTATTTATTACGTACGGAGCGGAGCGGAGATTTAGGTTACTAGGGATGCGCTATGAGATTATAATTCATATCAACTAATCGATAACATTAAATATCAAAAAGTGTCGTTGCTTTTTAAGTGACAGATTTATTATTATGTATGTTTTACACAAAATACAGAACAATTATATTATCTTGTATTATTCGTATTCGATAAATATTAGAATAGATATTCGTGTTGGTAAAATACATAGTATTCATTACATTACTGCTTCATAATCCATTACCGTTTGCTGCATCAAGTTATATTAAGTGGTACTATAACCCTAAAATTCTTTAACTTTGTTTTGTTAGATGAAAAAATCTACATGACTTGACATTGGCAGAATTGTGCGAATAGCTGTCATAGAGATCAAGCTATATTTTAAGAACTATACCATGACTTAACATTGGCAGAATTGTGCGAAATGCTCAGATAAGCCATTAAAAAAGAAGAAGAGAAGAACTATATCATTAACATCGCTATTTATCGAATGCATTAAGGACATCTCTATCTGACAGTGAGCTGTCACTGTCATTTTGACTCGAAAAGTTAGTCGCGCCATCAGTGTTGCCAACGTAGATGATTTTTCGCCATTTAGGCTACTCAGAACGAGAACTGGCGACGAAAAAATCTAAAAGGCGACCAGTCGCCAATTAGGCTACTCTAGGGGCAAGTTTTTTAAGGTAAAAAGGCATACGGCCGCGCGTGCGTGTGTATAGTGTAATTTTTGGATACAAGCGCTAAAAATGACGAATGCTGGTGGAAGCCAGATGTTCAAAGAACTAGCAGAGTTTTCGATACGATGCCTTTCATTACCTTTGAGTAATGTCGTCGTTGAAAGAATTTTCAGCGTAATGTGGACAATCAAAACAAAATTAAGGAATCGCATGCAACTACCCATGTTGATTGCCATTCTTAGAATTCGAACCCATATGAATATAAGAGGTATGTGTTGTAACAACTTTGAACCAAGCAATTACATGGTCAGTTTACACGCTGGCAGAAAAATGTATGTCTCCGGTGGATCTTGCGCCAGTACTAGCACATCAACAACTTCTGAAGTCGGTGAAAGTCTTGTTGATGCCTTATTATTGCTAGCAGAGGACGAATCAGATTAGTTCTAATTTTTGTTAATTTGTTTATTAGTTTTTAAAATGTAAATTTTAATTACATTATAACGTGTTAAAGATGGCTTATGCCTCCTGATCACTGTGTTTTGAACGTATATTATAAATAAATTGATAAAAACTACATTTTATTTTATTCATATTGATGTTTTTGTGTTTGGGCTACTTTAGGCTACTATAACTGAAATTGGGCGATATTAGGCTACTTAATTCATGAGAAATGACGATATTAGGGCTAGAGCTGTTGGCAACACTGCGCGCCATTATCATAAAAGATCATAAAATAATATAGAATAATAGGCCGTTAAACCGCCAGTTGTGTGTCTCTTTTTCTATTAAACGTATTAACTTATTTACAAGTTTTATTTATTCTACAGTGAAGATCTCGTGTAACTTTACAAGTTGGACTCTACTGTTTAATTACAATTGCCGTAGATGTGGGACTCGTACTACAAGTAAAAAGCTTCATATTATCAAGTTATAACAGCATTTCATCGCCAAAATATTTATTTTATTAAACATGGAAAAATGCATCTTTATTATATATTATTAATAATATTATTTTCTATCTTAAAAGATAAAATAAAATACCTATGTATCCCTACGTAAATGTTTTGTAATTTCAAACGCTTCGAACAAGTCAGGATGGCCGAGCGGTCTAAGGCGCTGCGTTCAGGTCGCAGTCCACTTCTGTGGGCGTGGGTTCGAATCCCACTTCTGACAAATATTTTTGTCATTTTTATTCTTTTTTATCAAAGTTTAATCAATTTTAAACTTTGATGACATCTACAGTGACAGTGAAGCATTCTTTTAGAGAGATGTTTTTATATTTATATATATATATAGGTATATTTTTAATAATAAAAGCACACATTGTCGCATAAATGATATTATAAAATATGCTGATATTAAAAAAATATTTTTCACAAAAAGGAACTCTAGTTGGGCACGGAATTCTGGATATACAGACGTATTACAGCGCAGCACAGGAGGCTCGCGCTACGTTCTTACCGGTCGCCCGAACTGCGTCCAGTAAGAATGACGGTTCGGACCGCGGCCAGACTGGTTGCACAAACCCCCCAACAAGAGTTCCCACTTACTCGACGAAAATAACGAATGCATTCGTATCAATCATTACGTCACACGGTAAACGTCATGTCATGATAATACTTTTATACCTTCTACTTTTTATTGAGCAATGTCACTCAAAACAATGATTGCGCGTATTACTTGTTCGTCTGGTAGTAGGAAAGTTCACAAAAATATCTCCAGTGATTATTTTTTCGAGTTTTAATCTCTTATTAATAATACTCCTTCAAATAATACTAAACAATGGCCAAAGGGTATTGAATACATATAACTTAGTAATTATACCACAGTAGATACATGGATATTACCATCATCGATTTCATTTATTGGCAAATCAAGTCTTATCTCAGCATATGTAAATCGCGAACTGTGCACGTCCATATATTAAATCATAGATACTTCATGTATGATACATGAGTTTTAGACTCTCACAATTGTCTAAATATACTTTACCCTTTACATCCCAGGCATCATCGATACCTACTTATAAAATGTCATAAAAATAATCATCACAATTTTGTATTATTTTTAATGAAAAATCACAGCAAACATAAAATTGAAGTCGAGTCAGATTTGGGAGGCATCGCCTTCACTTTTTTTCTCGTAGACCATTTTAAAAAGTTTACTGGTTTCGTGGGACCCCCTGTTACTACATTTTTACCATATTCCCAAAATGTGAAGATCTAACGATGGAAATTGGCGTAGCGGGTGAGGTCCAAACAAAAATAAATAAAAAATAGTATATTTTCTTGCGATCTATTTATTGAAATAATAAAGATAACAGACTTAATAGATTTAAAATGAAACACTAATAATGTTACGTAAGTTCAACAATGCAAATCAATAATAGAAATATTACCCATAATTTAAATGGGAAGGATGACTTGATGGATAGACATCAAATTATCAATATTTGGCTTCAGTTTTGTAAGGATTAACTGCAAATCCCCTTTCTGTAATGTTTAATCTGCTCCTTTTGTTTGTAATAAGTTTGTAACGACACTAAAACTTTAAACAAGGTATGACGAGGGAAACGCTATCAAAAGTTTTCTCGTAATTTCCCACAGCCCTGGATATTTTTCAGGTAAATCTGACTGCAGCCAAAATCTTTGATAGCCTTTTTTAAATTGCACCTTCAGCTCTTCATTGGTGCTGAGCTCTAGTAGTTCCTCTTGTAATACTACACCCGCCACATCCGTTTCATCAAATGGATTTATGATCTATTGAGGTATTTCCATTATCAAACTATCTTCAAATTTGTTTTTGAAGTCATCATGCAGCGCATTTGAATGTTGAACGTATGTCTGAATACCTTCATCAAGACATGCTGTATGTGACAAGTTTGGAAACTTAGAATTCGCGCCGACTGACTGCAAGTTGATGTCATTAAATTTTTTTAACAAATCTGTCAAATACGCGATGATCAAGTTTTCTTTTAAATCTGGATCTTTACTTTCCAGAAACTTAAAAACTGATTCAAAAAGTAAGTAAAGCCTTGTTAAACACCCAACTTTCGACAACCAGCGTACTTCAGTACGTAAAAGCAATCGCCAGAAGTCTTCATCTTCGTCGCACAATTGGGCAAATAAACGAGTATTCAACGCACTGCTTTTTATTCTATTAACAGCTTTAATCACAAGTTGAAGCGATTGATGCAATCTATCACTCAAATTTTTCGCTACCAGGTGTTGTCGATAGGTGACACAGTGTATTGCGGTTACTGCTGGTATTATTCTTTTAAGATGGCTTATAAACCCACGATAACGTCCGACCATGGCAGGAGCTCCATCTGTTGCCACCGAAATGATGTTTGCAAATGAAATCGATTTTTCCAGAAAAAGAATCACCCAGTAGCTTAAATATTTATATATATTCGCCTATATATATATATATATATTCGCCTTTAGTGTCCGTCTCTAAAGTTTTCGGGAATAGCAGCTCTTCATGGATTTCTTCGTCCATAATAAATCGAACATATGCCAATAATAATGCTTCACTACCAAGTGAAGTTGACTCGTCCAGTTGAATAGAAAAATGAGTTGTTTGTAGATAATTACACAAAAAACTTTCAATATCAGAGCTCATTTCATCAATACTTCTTTGTAGTGTTGTTACTTAAAGGATTTTTTTAAGTACGTCACGTAAAGGCATCTGCAGAACAGTTTATAAAACCTCTTCAACAGCGGGTAAAATTAACTGTTTTCCGATGGTGTGCAGTTTTCCAGATTTCGCAATAAGCAATGAGATATTGCAAGATGCCCGCAAGCCATCATCGTTACTTTGAGATGTTGAAGCGAACATACTGTGCACGGTGGGTCTCTTTTCATATTTTTCCTTCAATGATTGAAAATATTTTAAATCTTTACCTATTTTATAAGGACACACTTGACACCTTCTTAGACGGTCTTCGAACTTCGATGGTTTCATAGAGTCATTGCTCAAAACTTTTTTGCATAAAAGGCATGTCGGCAATCGTTTATCTGCCTTTGATGGAAGAAAACCAAATTTCAAATAATCAATACTGTACTGCCGACATTTCTTCTTAGATTCAGCCATGTTTCGTATCAGTTGCCTACCTAAAAAAATACTCAAGTGTATAGTATAGCTAGAATAATTTACTGTCTGCCAAGATCTGTATCATTCTACAAAAAATGAAATAAGTATATAATTACGAACATGCAGGTCAATCAGATATTTCTCCTTTAGTGAATAACTACGACCGGGTAAATAAATAATTGTATAATAAAAAGTACAAAAAATCGAATAATGGACCTGTTCAGTATTTAATTTTTATTAGGTACACGCAAACATAACAAATAAAATATTATTACAATCGAATAGGCAGGGAGGTACTTATTTTTCCGGGACCGGCAAACACTGACATAGGGCGCTTGTGCACTACACCGAATTTTCAGGTCCAGCCGAAAATTCAGTGTAGTGCACAAGCCGATTCGATTTTTTCCGGTCCGATATGTCAGGCCATATATAGGTGATGCTAGCTTGTGCACTGTCAGAAATTTCACCGTCCGGGATTATACTTTTTTCTATTCTGGACCGGTTTTTTCAGGTCCGTGATGGCGGCAATGAAAACCGTGTTTACGCTTGTGCACTGCTGTGTCCGCGATCCGGAAAATTCATAAGGAATAGGCTTGGAAAAAAATAATCAATTTGTGTAAAATCGATATTTATTTCGGCGATGTTGTTAATTTCCAATACACGTATAATCGATATTTATTGTAGATTATAAAATGCTATATTTTATATGATTTAATATTATTTATGAACGTAACGCCTTAAAAAAAGAGAGTAATTGTTATTGGGCGGGTTTAGGACCCGTACGTGCGTTGGTAAGTAGGTGATGGGTAATAAAATAAGTATTTTTTTAATAATTAATGTTTACTACCTAAAAATAGGGACTTAGTGTTAGGGTTCAATCGCAAGCAGGCAACATGGATCAGTGTATAAGATAAGAAAGGTGCAATTTTATATGGCCTTAATCAAGTATTCAAGGGTTTCGATAGACAAGACAAGAGTTAATCTATAAAGGGAACGTGCAGGAATTATATATAGGTGGCAGCACTAAACGACAAGAGACATAAGGCAGATAATAAAGGATACTCATCGAAACTATTATCAACCTTTCAACAAAGTAAAAAAATATCTTCAATAATACTCGTATTATTTTAGAATATGATAAAAGTTATTAAATATGGTTTCAGGTATAATGAAGAAAATGAGGCTGTACTAACTGGCAAAATGGCCAAACTAATAAAATATCCGATGTTTACCACGTGATTGATTTCGTTCTTAATATTTATAAACGTATATAACGATTGCTTTTTACAGCGTTTATTAATTCTTTGCTCTATACACATAACATGGCGAAAGAGAACTATTCTTTAAAAAATTGTAGTATATCTAGAATATTATTATTCTAGTTATGATAAGCTAGAACAATTATATCTATAATATAATAAAAACGTAACCGATCGATAGCTTTACATCGAAGATATATGAAAAAAACTGTTATGAAAAACATTTATAAAGTAACAAAACAACTATTTTTAAATTTAATGTACGCTTGTGCATGCTAATCTCAGAAAAGGCTGAACCGATTTTAATGGAGTTTTCACCATTGTATTGTGGTAACCTTCCGTTAACATTCAATGTAAGATTCATTTCAATCGGATCATAAATAAAAGTCATATCAATTTGAGTTACTGTCTTCGCCAAAATTGCTATGAAATGAATTGCTTTATTAAATTTTAGTCTTTGATATATTGTTTATCCTGTCAGCTCTTTTACATCCCCATGCAGTGAGGCTCTGGCCTTTGTTTAATATTCTTTTGGTCACCCATCCCGTGAACAACCCATGCGGAAATTGTTTAACAAACAACAATCACGGGTGCGGCGCTTATCCGTTGCGCTACCGAGCTACATATTGATATTGTCTCTAAAATTATAATTTTTATGTATATAAATAAAAAATGAGTTTTCAATATTTTGGATACTGCAATGTAAGTTGATTTCAATTATATATGACCAATCATATTAAATATGATTGATCATTATATATGTATTATAAGCTGAAGCTTATAATGGATATGTAGTATATGATCACGCGATTAGGAGATCAAGCGAAAAGAGCGTTGCGCTGCTGCAATTAAGCATCGAGTAGTTTACAGTGAACGCACGTAGTATAAGGTTTTCGATAATAATACTTATCAGGTTAGGTTTACGTCTTCGAGGCCTCACCTGTCTAGGAGCTGCTCTCGATGGACCCAAGCGTCTCCATCTGCGATGGGACCAACGGTCCAATACTCGAGTGTCCTGGTGAATCTGCTGCGGCTCGGGTGGGTTCACGGAGAAGAGTCCTACTCTCTCCCCTGTTGCATGACGGCTAACAGGAACAGAGCCTCGACGTTAAAAAAGTTAAGTTCACGTCTCCGCAGATACTTACGCCAAAAAGGGACATAAGTTGTGAGAATGCCTTTGAAAAAGGTCAAACCTACAAAACTGCTAACAGGATGAGATTCTTAAGATCCTGCGGTGAGACGTAGGAAATTTTTAGGCCAGGTTATGGCCTACAGAAACTTTGGTTCAGCATGAATCTAAACTGGGTTTAAACCATTCTCGAATGAGTGAAGACAACTCAAGTTATATCAATTTTTTCCTCTCATTAGTTTAATGTTACTCTTTATTTTTTTTTTCATTCACGTCGCTTTACTTTAAAGTTGGTCTTCCGCCTTTCAAGGAGAAGGATCGAGAACGTTTCCTCCGCACACCCTTGGGATACAATAAAACGACCGCGTAGTTCCAATATGTGTAATTCCCTCATACTTTCAAATGCCCGCGAGATCAACTGCATTCTTTCACATAAAAAAAGACCTCGACTATCAATATACGGTACTATTACAACACGATTATCGACCCTATGACATTTCTTTTATCATTATAATAATTATGTAATTACAAAAGTCTGTCAACTAAATACAAAAAATTCGGCGCGCATAGCGTACCGAACGCTTACATACATATACATAAGTTTTTATATATAAATATAAGATATACATAGCACTACAATTAATTTCTTTTTAAACAATAACCTACAAGGAGTGGACTTAAATGAGACGGCGCCGGGGCGCATTACACTATAAATTTAAAAAACAATTAATGGTATTTATTTAAACATAGTTTCGTTCGGTCGCGGTTATGTTACAGCACGGCGGTCCTCGCCGCTCATCACTACTGCCTCTATGTACATCGGCACGTCCTGCACAAACAAACACACGCACACGTTATTGTACATATATACACGTCAACACAACACACGCACACATTATTGAGTGGCGCGATACCAAAGTTATGTGAATGCGATACGCGAATTGAGGCTAGCCCTTTGGTTCAATAGTATGTCTAATTGTATAGTTAAATCGTTATGACATTCGAAACGTACAATAGTCAGTTTCACTCAGTTAAGTAGGAAGTGGCGTCAGCGGGCGGTCAATATCTGGTTTTGTTGACCTTTAGAAGTTGGGCGTCCAGTAAGACTGTTAAATATTATCTTTCCAATTATTATAAGAGACAAATAGCTATTTCGCTATCATATTTTTTTTCTATAACAGCCAAAAATTTGGCTAACCAGAGTGCTCCTATTGAGCACTCTTCTATTGACATGACTGTCAGTAATAATCCTACTGACATTGCGACAAATTCGTCTTTAAATTAGATACTAAGACAACAGAGGATTCCTCTTGCTTGCTATTGAATAGTCAAAGTAATAATGGAACCAAGAGTTTTTCAGTCATCAACCTAGTGCACCAAAATGTTCAAGGAATGTTGAGCAAAGAGTTGGAAGTGGAATTATTCATGAACTGTAACAATGTTGATTTTTTCTGTATTACGGAACATTGGTTAACAAGTTATAATTGCATTTTTAACTTCAATAATCACCTGGTTGGTAGCGCGTTCATTAGGAAAAACGCAATGCGTGGTGGCGCACTAATTTTATTAAATAAAAAGTTTAAATTTAAAGAACGTAGAGATATAGTGAGCCTATCGGTTGAGGAAATAATAGAGATTGCCTGTATAGAGCTGGACCAGCTGATTGTACTGAGCGTATATAGACCTCCTTCAAGTTTAGTTTCTCATTATGATCTCTTTGAAACTGTTATGGATGAAGCATTAAAAAAGGTATATAGCAAAGGCAAACGATTAGTGATTGGGGGTGATTTTAACGTTGATTTATTAGGAAACTCCAATTCATGTACAAGACTTGTAAATCTATTTATGTCCTATAATCTTGCGCACATGTTTAAGGAGCCTACTAGAGTAACTGCTACTTCGTCCACATGTATTGACAACATTTTTACAGATCTAGTACCACTTTCAAGACAGATAATTAAACAACTACCGTCAGATCATTTTGGACAACTAGTTAGCTTTCCGCATAAATGTACGTTTGTGGCTAGGAGAGACATTACAGTTGTGTCAAAAAGTATGAGTCGCTTGGAACGTTTTAAAAATCAATTAGATAGTAAATTGTATCATTTGAAACATAATAGTAATCCCAATGATTTGTACAAAGATTTCTTTGATGTTTATTGTACAGAATTCAATAAGATTTTTGTCCCAAAAAAAATAAGTATTAGTAATCCTATAACTTTTAGTGTGTGGGCTACACCAGGAATCTACAAAAGCAGAAAAAGGCTCTATGAACTATATGATGAACGTAATTATAACACAAGTGAGGACTTCAAAGAATATGTACGAAATTACTCTAAATTATTTAAAAAAGTGTGTCGTTTAGCCAAATGTAATTATTTAAATGCGAAAATTGAAAATAGTAAAGACAAAGTTAAAATGACGTGGAATATCATAAATAGTGAAACTGGAAGAGAAAAATCCCGGAATATAAATTTTAATTTAAACATTGATAATAAAAAAGTAACATCAGATCTTGAAGTTGCTACAGTATTTGAAAATTTATTTACTGAAATTCCAGTCTTAATTACACAATCTTTGAATTCCTCTTCCACTGTTGCTGAATCTATTTTAAAGGCAAGTTTAAATAATTCTAATAGCCAATTTAAGTTTCAACACATTGATTTTAAAGATATAATAAAATCTTTTAATCAGCTAAAGAAAACGAAAACTGCTGATTTATGGGGTAATTCCATTGAAGTTTCTAAATCGGTAATTGAGACAATAGCTCCAATCTTAGCTTATATATTTAATGAATGTACTGATTGTGGTATTTTTCCTGAGCTCATGAAATATAGTAAAATTATTCCTTTACATAAATCGGGTAGCACATCTGACCCTACTAACTTTAGACCTATATCCGTGCTACCTACGTTTAGTAAGATTTTTGAAAAAATCATGCTGGATCAAATACAAACGTACTTTTACAAGAATAAGCTTATGAATCGACAACAATTTGGTTTTACAAGGGGTCGCTCGACAACCGAAGCCGGTGTCGACTTAATACAAGAAATTTTTAATGCCTGGGAGGATTCACATGATGCGTTAGGTGTTTTCTGTGACCTATCTAAGGCATTTGATTGTGTTTTTCATGAAACATTGATTAGGAAACTGCATTTTTATGGATTTAGAGATAACTCATTGGATTTTATTGTCTCATACTTGACTGACAGAGTACAGAGGGTTGATATCAATGGCAAAAGATCCCCTGGATCGAAAATTAAGATGGGCGTTCCGCAGGGCTCAATACTTGGTCCTTTCTTGTTTTTGATTTACATAAATGACTTGCCTTATTTCGTAAGGGATGATCACGAAATAGTTTTGTTTGCGGATGACACTTCACTCTTGTTTAAAATTAAAAGAGGGTTACCTCTAAATGACGATGTGAACAATTCTATCGCTAAAGTAGTACATTGGTTTAATGTAAATAATCTTCTCCTTAATGAAGGAAAAACAAAATGCTTAAAATTTGTACTACCTAATGTTAAAAAAGTAGATATAAATGTTAATGTAAAAGATAAGAACATGGGCCTTGTGGATACCACAGTATTTTTAGGAATAACATTAGATTCTAAACTACAGTGGGGCCCACATATTGATAGATTGTCGAGTAGACTTAGCTCTGCAGCATATGCCGTAATGAAGATACGTAGGTTAACTGACATAGATACTGCCAGATTAGTATACTTCAGTTACTTTCATAGTGTTATGTCATACGGTATCCTATTGTGGGGAAATGCTGCCGACATACAAACAATTTTTGTGCTTCAGAAAAGAGCAATTCGATCAATTTATAATCTTAGGATTAGGGACTCTTTAAGGGAGAAATTTAAGGAAATAGACATTATGACTGTTGCTTCTCAATACATATACGAGAACTTAATGTACGTTCGTAAAAATATTAGTTTGTTTTCTATTAAAAGTGATGTACACAATTTTAATACAAGAAATAAAAATAAATTAACGGTGCCTGTCACTAGACTGCAAAAAGTTAATAACTCTTTCAAGGGTCTTTGTGTGCGCTTCTACAATAAGGTCCCAAGCAAAATACAACAATTAGATATCATGCAGTTTAAATCTACTATTAAAAAAATACTTATTAAAAAAGCTTATTATAAGGTATCCGATTATGTAACAGATAAGAACGCTTGGACTTGAGATGATCCAGCAACTGGATAGGTGATTACTTCTAAACTCATTATCTTGTTTCCATTATTATTAAATGATTATGTTATTATTATAAGACCATAGTTTTTTTTTATCTCTGTTTATAATGTATTGATCTGGTAATGACATGGTTTTTGTAAATGTCATTACTCATATTAGAGCTGGTGAGTTTCTTGCTCGTTCTTCTTATCAGCCAAAAGACGTCCTGAACGAGTGGTAGGGAAAAAATGTTGGACGATTCAAAAGTACTTTTAAGAAGTCTATTTGAATAAAGATTATTTTGACTTTGACTTTGACTTTGACTGTGAGTAGGAGGGCGTGTCACCTGCTAGTTGGGCGTCCAGTAGGACTGTGAGTAGGAGGGCGTGTCACCTGCTAGTTGGGCGTCCAGTAAGACTGTGAGTAGGAGGGCGTGTCACCTGCTAGTTGGGCGTCCAGTAAGACTGTGAGTAGGAGGGCGTGTCACCTGCTAGTTGGGCGTCCAGTAAGACTGTGAGTAGGAGGGCGTGTCACCTGCTAGTTGGGCGTCCAGTAAGACTGTGAGTAGGAGGGCGTGTCACCTGCTAGTTGGGCGTCCAGTAAGACTGTGAGTAGGAGGGCGTGTCACCTGCTAGTTGGGCGTCCAGTAAGACTGTGAGTAGGAGGGCGTGTCACCTGCTAGTTGGGCGTCCAGTAAGACTGTGAGTAGGAGGGCGTGTCACCTGCTAGTTGGGCGTCCAGTAAGACTGTGAGTAGGAGGGCGTGTCACCTGCTAGTTGGGCGTCCAGTAAGACTGTGAGTAGGAGGGCGTGTCACCTGCTAGTTGGGCGTCCAGTAAGACTGTGAGTAGGAGGGCGTGTCACCTGCTAGTTGGGCGTCCAGTAAGACTGTGAGTAGGAGGGCGTGTCACCTGCTAGTTGGGCGTCCAGTAAGACTGTGAGTAGGAGGGCGTGTCACCTGCTAGTTGGGCGTCCAGTAAGACTGTGAGTAGGAGGGCGTGTCACCTGCTAGTTGGGCGTCCAGTAAGACTGTGAGTAGGAGGGCGTGTCACCTGCTAGTTGGGCGTCCAGTAAGACTGTGAGTAGGAGGGCGTGTCACCTGCTAGTTGGGCGTCCAGTAAGACTGTGAGTAGGAGGGCGTGTCACCTGCTAGTTGGGCGTCCAGTAAGACTGTGAGTAGGAGGGCGTGTCACCTGCTAGTTGGGCGTCCAGTAAGACTGTGAGTAGGAGGGCGTGTCACCTGCTAGTTGGGCGTCCAGTAAGACTGTGAGTAGGAGGGCTTGGTGGGTGGCGGCTTGGCCGCGCTGCTGCGCCCGCCCCCGCCCCCCGCGCCCGCGCCGCTCTCCTGCACACACACACACGCACATGCTCATATCTCAACGTCCTACCCGTACAACTAACGGTAGGCGACATCTCGTCTCGCAGATATAGGGGAATCGAGTCTCGATTCCCTTATATCTGCGAATTACAAAACGAAGGTCCGATCGGATCTTTTAGTGAACCGCATATGTCTTAAAGAAATCTGACGCGTTCTAATCGGACGATCGACACGGTGAGTTCCTCCCGATATGGCGCATGTTAAATCTTAGTTTGTAGCGGACCTCCAGATCCCGACGCTGACCGAATGCAGGATTTAAAATTTGTAGGGGGCTCGTTTCTCTAACAATAAGATGTAAAATACAACGTGGTAGGTATTTTTAGATCACGCTCAGGATATCGGTGGATCAATATAACATATATTTCGCGCTTCGAAGTTTATCTTTCTGTGCGACACATCACTGGGCCGCATGAGTCGGTATCTTACTGTACAATTCTATAAATATATCAGCGAGGACGATCGATAGTGAATCCGAATCGATAATCTCGAAACTCGTATAGACGGTGGAAGAGATTTGGAAGAAACATTTTTTATGTTGTGCTATCTGTGGTCATGCGTAAAATAAAAGTCGAACCGGTAATGTTAAACGCTTCCACATCTGCGTAAATCTAATAATTAGATTTTCTGACAGCTAATTGAATAAAACGATTCCAAAATACCGTCTAGATAATAAATCGCCAAAACATTTAAATAAATTGATAACACCAATCGACAAGAGGCATTTTTTTTTTTTATCACAAAAATCTTTTTTATTTTCTTTTTATTGTTAAGTAACTTCATATTTTATTAAAAGTAGACTGTTTAATTTGTAACTGAATATCTTTTAGTATTATATTTGACTTCAAGCCGCCTTTTTGTACGTCCAAAAACCGTAACACACATATAATACTTCTTAAACAGTTCTTATTTAAAACTTTTAACAATTTTAAAACTTTTAAAGCATGACTTCAATATCTTCAAATATACTATCTTTGACTTAGGAACTAATTACAGTTATTAGGAAACATGCCTCATGTACGGGTTGCGACCTGCAGTTCCCGGGTAATGAGTAGGTGAGCCAGCGCCCACTCAATCACACCTGACCAGGCAAAACACGGAACGACGAACAACAAAATCGCAACATAATAGAAGACTAATGTTGGTACACCGATTAAAAAGTGTAATTTAGCCAACGACAATAGAAACTCATTAGGTGTCGCTCTAAATATTTATTTATTTTGTAAAAATATACAAGATTGCTAAGTTGTTTTTTAACCGCGTGCTCACGACTCACGAGTAGCTCGGTGGCGTAGTGGATAAGCACCGCAGCCCGCGATCGTTGTCGTTAAGCAACTTTCGCAAGGGTCGGTCACGGGATGGGTGACCGAAAAATTATTATCTCGAGCTACTCCGTGCTTCGAAAGGCACGTTAAGCCGTTGGTCTCGGCTGCATTTGCAGTCGTTAATACCCTCCAATCCGCATTGGGCCAGCGTGGAGGGTCATGGCCCATTCTCCTTAACCATCCATCCATAAGGAAGTCCTGAGCCCCTACAGTGGGGACGTAAAAGGGCTGGTGACGGTGGTGACGCTCACGACCGAGCGAGTACAAACCTGAGCATTAGCAAGGCAATCAAAAGAGCATGAGGTGAAAAATCTTTGCACTCACACACTTCTTTTTTTTTTCAACCACCTCAGTGAGGAAATAATTGAATACTAATGAATACATCTTTTGATTGTCATTATCAGTAAAAAAACAGTACGGTAATAAAAACAATTTAATATTTTTAATGAAAAATGCATAAAATACCTTGTTTATAATATAATATCAATATAATGTCGAAAACTTTGTCGATCGGTATTATCATTTATCGTTACGAAATATATATCATAAAAAGTTTTACATAATTTATGGAATAATTTCTTTACATTTATGAGCTGTCAAAAAAATAATCATATTGGCGGTAATCACGGCTGGTTACGAAATACTCCACAGTTCCAATAGAAATAAGTCAAAACAAGCATAATTACGATACGTTAGTAGATGCATTATAACATACAAACATAAAAATATATACATAAACGGTTACAACATTCAATTGATTAATTAAGTGGCGGGTAAATGCAATAATGTAAATTAATTATATAAAAGTATATTATAAATATGTGAGATACTGGAAACAGCGACAGAGCAATGAATTTGCGTATACATAAAGTGATATAAACAAATACATGATACATATTAACTTACCCGCCTACTATGACTATTGTTCACCCGCACATCCATCTACAAACGAAAGCAAACTCTAAGAATAATAATATTAAACTAAAATGTACAACGTAGACGCATGCCGTGTACGTAGTGTAATGTCTATACATGCCGTGGCTGCAATGGAATATATACAAGTCTCTATTTATTTCAAAACACGAATACTACGTGCAAATCTTTGACGCCGGTACATAAGCCCTCAAAAATTCATTCGTTTCGTGCGCCTAACGTGGTCGTCTAATTAAACTCTAAGTTTAATACAATATATTTCATGTTTTATACGACTGGAAATGTTACGATCGTTTTTAATTCTTTCGGATTCAACTTTTGAAGACGGGGAAGAGGTCACAAAGTAGAACGCAATTTATACTACAGCCAAATTCGATGAAGAATGTTTACTAACAAAGCGTTGCTTAGCAACCAGTGACAGACCGATATTAATAACATTTCGAGGTACTAACTTATCAAATGTTCTAAGCAAATTAGATAGAATTATGTAATAGTGTTTTGAAAATTACCTAATGTTTGTAATTTAATGTGCAATGTCTTAAGATAACAAGGAACATGCCATGTGTAAAAAAAAATCAGTGAAATCCAGTTGTTTTATTTATAAATGTTCTAATACTTCATAAACTTGCTATTAATAAATAATACAATCAGTTCACAATGCTATAAACATATTACTATATGAAATAAAAAACTTTTTGTCGTTGTAAACAGTAGAAAGAAATACCATACTTTCATACAGGGTGGGCTTATACTATACGATCGATTTCAAATGTAATCAATCTAAATGAGCACGTTTTATAATTGACAACTTGCAAACAAGTTTCTATTATCTGACCTCTATAAGTTACAGGGCTGTCAAGTAAAAATATTTTTCCGTTTCTTTTAGTCCAAATATTGTAATTTAACGAGTGTTTCTGGTAATTTATAACAGTAAAAAATATTAGTCACAGAATGACGAAGTAATGTACAGTATTTTTTCGTCACCTAAGTTGTGGTGACCCTAATTTGCTTTGTTCACATTGACTCTTCATCGAATGAAGCTGGAACAGTGTCCACAGGTGGGTTACCTGGTGCTGCGAGTGGAGGTGGTGGTGGTGGTGCGGCGCGGGGATGTACAGGTGCGAGGCGCCGAAGGGCGGCGGCGTGCCGCTGTGGAAGCCCGCCTTCTCGTAGCTCTGCAACCACCAGGCCACTCGTATACTCTCATAAACATTACTAGTGCCTTAACCTAGCGCCGAGTTTGAAAAACATCTCTCCCGAAAACGCCACGCCACATATTTAAAGTCAACGCCGTAAAAATCATTCGAGGCTCCGCCAGGGTCAGGGTCGCTCGACGAGAGAGACGCGGCGCGACGACCCCGAGAGGAGTAAATCTTGCTAATACGCAATTACACGGTGGAAGTCTCCAAACGATGACAGATTGTGCGTTAATATGAGTGTAATTTAGGTCCAGTCGAGGTCAAAGATATATTCACACCACAAGTTGCCACAAAACGAAACCATCCAAACTACAAAAATAAGTACTTTTCCAGTAATTTGACTATAACTCGGTAAACTGACAAAGTGCAATAATATATATCCTTAGGTACGCGTTAACTTGGAGACAACCACATACTGACAAGACTTATTTTTATCTATAATTGCGGAGATTAAGCGACGATCGCCAAAGCCGATAATCGGATGTGTGGCCAAATTATTTTTGTCAGAGTGACCCAGGACGATCACGCGGGCCTATAAATCAGTTATCCGCCGGCCCAGTGGCTAGCGTATTTGGATTCCATCCATTAAGTATGCCTGTGCTTTAGCACCACCAATCCTCATTGAGGCCTTCACGTGGGCCCAGTAAGGAATGCTGGATGGATTGGTTTTATTCATTAAGAATATCCGTGCTCTATTGCCACCAATGCGCTTTGCTTCATACACGTGGGCCCAGTACGGAATGCTCTGTGCCACCACCACATTTACGGAACATACACGCGAAACCGCGAAACCACGAACACATATGTCTACATTTTATTTAATACTGCATATGCATAAATAGGGAAGTAACTTTTATACAAAATTAATGTATCCTAACACAAAAATTTGTGTTTTCAAATTCTACTACTTTATGTTTCCAACATTGTGTACATATTTATTTTCATTTAAAAGAATACAATTTTATGGGTCTTTATATGAATACATATATAATGTCAAAATCTTTGACCTTGACTGTACATATTCAAATTTAAGGTATTTTTTGTATTTTTTTTTTTTTGCGATTTTCGTAAACGAAATTTTGTCATTTTTTATAAATCAACTAACGGTCGAAACGATGAGAATTTTAATGTAATGAAACAAATTGTCGAAAACTGTAAAAAGAACATGATGAGACAAAATCGAATGCTCACAACCAAACGTGTACCTTTTGTTGTATTACGTAAAGTTGTAATTCGAGTCGCTCCAGTGCACGCGGCGTCGCGTCGCGGTGTCCACTAAATTTTATTATTTTTCCAACCCGTTTCTATTAACAGGCCCGACTGTAACGAAAATTCAATCGGCCCTATGGTGCTCCGAGGTAACAAAATTGTCAAACTTTTGTTGCAATAGAATTCACATAATCTCTAACGAGAGATAAAAGGTGTCGAGTGTTGTTCCGGCCCCTTCGAATAGGAAACTCTAGATGCCCCCGAAATCATTTCCATTTTTATATTAGATACGAAATACTGCAGATTCGTTTTAATATTGTCGTTTACGTATCGCTTTCTCACGCACTCGATAAATACTAATCTTGTTCTATTTATTTATATTATTATTATGTACAAATTCCAACAGTTCCCGTTATACGATCTATCAATAGTAAAGAGTCTTTGCTATTTAACACACCATAGAAGGGACTTTCTTCGACATGAACGAATGAGTGAGCGCTCTCTTGCGGGCGTGTTGACTGTTGTAAATAGAATTTCTAAAGATGAACATAAGACAACTCACATTGACCTTGTTGAGTGCCACGTGCCCCTTGTACATGTTGGCGGCCAGCTCCTGCCCCTGCGCCTTGCCCGCGCCCGCCGAGTACCCGCCCGCTGCAACGGACGCCACACACAAACTATTATTGCTTTGCACACATACGGTCAGTTGCACAAACGTCCAGTAAGGTTTAAGGACGCTTTTAAGCCCTAATGAATGTCAAATTTGTATGGGTAATGTTGCTTTAAACTAATGAAAATTTTAATGGACGTTTGTGCAACTGGCTGTTACAGGCTTACTTATAAAAATTCATTAAACTATGGTTATTCAATCGTGTTGCTGATAACAATGGAAAAATATCTTTTGACTTATAAACTTGGTATATAACTTAAGTATTCCACCCTTATGTTCGATGCACGGAGCGACAACGCCGCATTTCATAGACAAAATCGAAAAAAGAAAGTATTTTTTGTCTGTGATTCGGTTGAAGTGTCAAATGTCACTCTGAGTTTGACGTTCGGTTGATTGACAAGACGCAAAATGTCATTTGACAGATGCGTTTTGCTACACCAGAGTTATACTGGTGACGGTGACAGTGACGGATGGAATATCGGTGGAATAAGTTTTCTTAGAACACTATATCAAGGTTATGCTAAGCATAAGTTACACTGGGTTTATAAGTTAATATTTTGCGTATTCCGCACTAATTCTCGGTATTACATTTTATACCACGTTTATAAGCAGCGCTGTCACACTATAATATAGTAACAGTATTGTTTTAAAAAGAGACATTGAAATTTGATATTATATTTAAAATTTCAATGACCAAGAGTATTCTACTGTTGTTAGAAAAAAGTACTCGTAACTTTCTATTTAAATAAAAAAGCCAATCCGGGAAAATAAATATGTTTACCAACACAAAACACAGCACAGAGTATATTCTTTAATAGACCAAAAGACGCCAATGGGACAAACGGTACCATCTAACGTCGGGTGCCGCAGGAAGTCGTAAATCGCGTCGTCAAAATTTTTCACATGAATTACTCACAATTTCATATTCCACGCGAGTTGCGGTCTAAAAATCATTCCATATTTTCTCGGTTTTAACTGACAGACGCCGAAATAATAGTGTCATGGCGGGTCACGTTTCAGGTCACGTGATACATAGATAAAAAAACTCGACTTTAAATTAATAAGATAATAATACGATGTTAGACTCAAAATCAGAAAATCAAAGTTTATTTCAATGCTAATTTGAGTCTGTGAAATTTCGTGACTTATTTTTCACTGCCGAATCTGACGTTATCGTACATGTAATAAGGCTAAGCAGTATATCGGTAGATAAAATTATAATTTAATGAAGCAAATTAAAACAATCGAGGACCTCAAGCTGAGCTATACATTCACACAGGGTACTTCTCCCTACTGGCTTCCTTAATATTAAAAGGCAGAACCGCACAAGGGACGGTGGATTTTGTATCTCTCTAGTTTGCTCTATTCAAAGTATGACTGACCGGGTTTGTAGGAGTCCTGCGCGTCGTAGGGCGGCTGCTGCGGCGTGTAGGTACTGACTTTGCCGGCCGCGGCCGAGCCCACGCCGCCCACGCCCGACACTCCGCCCACGCCGCCCACTCCGCCCACGCCCGTCACGCCGCCCACCCCGCCCACGCCGCCCACGCTCGATCCCCCGCCGTACTGCCGATACAAGCCCTTCACGTCTCATAAACGGTTCACTTTTTATTGGTCATTTCACCAAATTTATCTGATGCCAAATATTTCGAGATTACCCAGGGTGAAGATGCGTTTCATCCATGACTAGGGGTGCCTAGTGGCTACCTGGCGACTTTAAGCAACGCTTAAAGTTGGGACATTCATTATACGTCCTTCCTTTAGGCATTTGAGTAATGTGACATATATTTTGTCTTTGACCCTGACAGATGTGTCAAGGCATAAAATCAATTTAGTTGGTTGGAATCATAGATCAATAATTGGAATAAAGGCATTTAATATATTTAGAATAAATCTTATTCTGCATAATAGCATTAAACAAGTTTTTGACTTGTCACACGGCAATTATATTTTATTAAACTGATCATTAAAAAATAAAAATCAGAAACGAAAACATGTAAAAGTGAAGTTTCAGATATGCTCAACTTTAAATTTTCAATTTAAAAACCGGGTGGATAACTTTTTCCAGTGGAGGTTATTTGTCATGGTACTTTTATAAAAAATTTGTTATGTTCATTCCCCAAGAAAGGGCAGACTGTTAATTCGAATTCAAGACAAGGCACTGTCAACTTATTGAATTCTATTAGTATATATTGAATGATTTTATAAAAAAAATTGGCTTTTATATAAAATACACTCTCAATGTGAATAACGTAATATTGGAGGACATTCCATGTGCTGCCCCGGATTTATGTATTTACGGGGGTTCGCGGACGAAACGACGATGTCGGAGCGATCAATAGTTTATATAGAAATTCGTTAAACTTACCGTGGGATATACTCCGTATTGGTATGTGGTGGGTGGTGGTTGGTAGAAATACGCGTAGCCCGGCGGTAACGCTGCCGGGACCTGATAAACATTAACAGATCGTTATAATATAAGTAATATCGTTTTACAAATACACAATTACCGAACGCGGAGCGTTATCACATTTTTAAACGTCAAGTCGCGAGGGCGACCTGCAATCGCGTTTACTGAAATGTGACGTCACGGGTTCGCGGGACAATACAAATCGACGAATGAAAACATGCTTTTCCTTTATCCACTAAACACTCTCTGCAGAGAAACACGTAATAATAATAATGAGTTGTACAACCTGCTGCGGCGAGGCGGCGTCGGTGCGCGAGAACCTGTCGGCCGCGCCCAGGCCGAAGCCGCCCTCGCGCACGCTGCCGCCGTACCCCACCTCGTAGTAGCCGCCCTGGGGACCGATACAGGCCACTTAACGCTTCACTGTACACACCGCCCACACCGATACTGACCGTCTTTTATTAACGCCGCGGCAAATAACGGTACAAATATTTCACTTGTAGTGATATAAACTAGATGAACAGACCGGGCGAAATTATTTCGACGGTGATAGGAGAGGTAAATAAGTAAATAATAAATTGTCCTGAATCATGGACGACTCTTTTTTCACTTTACAGAGTCACTTCTAAAAGGGAATTTCTATTATAATTCAAGACAAGCATATCTTTAGCACGGCCGAATACTCACCATATGATGTGGTAACGTGGTCCCTCCTCGCATCAACTGTGCCTCCTCGTATGCATATCCACCTCCTACTCCTCCGACTCCTGCAGAATTTTTAAATATTCGTTTATTATTTAATTATGCCATAATTTTTTCCTAATTCGCAAATATATGAAACAGATCTTTTTATTGTTAAAATTACACACTTTTAATTTTGCAACTTCGTAAAATCCTAATAACAACAGCGCGAAAGAGCGACGAGTGGCCGGAGTCCTGCATAAGCGGACAAGTCCTAACCATCACTCTGTCTCAAAAATTAATACGTCACCAAACAGAGAAATAAGACAATACAAATACTCAAATATTACGTTAATATATCGATCGCAGCGCTCCCTACAAATCATATTATATCAAAATTACAGTCACAGTATCGATAAAGGTACAGGGGGATATACAAAGCGTATAGGGGGGGTACAGAGGACACTAGGCGTGGTGTATACCTGCAGTGTAGAGCGCGGCGGGCGCGTAGGGCGTGGAGGGGGGCGCGGTGGTGCCGGGGTTGCCGCCGCCGCCGCTCCCGCTGCCGCTGCCACTACTCGCGTGCGCTACACACACATACACCGTGTAAATATATATATATATATACTAACCATTGTACGACCACATCAAAACATGCTTCACTATTTTTACCAGTGTTTAATGTCTAGCATCGTCGAATGCCTATATGCCTCCGATTCAGATTTATAAAGTATCACAAATATCCTGTTTATGCTCAACACACGTATAAATGATGTGAACATCCACATTCCAGTTCGCGCCAAAATGTAAGGATTCTGATGTCACCTAATATTTACACAATACACTACACAGACTCGGTAGCATGTATCGGACAGGCCCCCTACTATTTAATAAATATAGAAAAATTGCATCAATATATTATTGGGTTAAAATATACCTATAAAAATCGTATTCCCATTAATTGCCAATTTTAAATGAAAATAAAACATGATTTATCAATAACATTAAAATTTAAACGCAGCAATTCGCTCTGTAAAGTAACTGTTCAAACTGACAGACATATGACAGCAAAATAGGTATGTATGTCGATATACTTAGAAAAAAAATCTTACAATTGATTTAAGTCGATTCGATTTTGGCATATTTGAAATAATATTTTTACGCTATCATTTTTATTGGCGTTAAATTATCATTGATAATATTTAAAACGTCACGAGTACTCAAAAACCAATTCCATTTATGCCGATTTTATTAAGGTTGAATCATAACGTGATCTATTCGAAGCAATCTGGCTGGCATTTCAAATAATAATATAATTTTTTTTAGTATAGTTTTCAGTCATGCAACTCGCAGATTATAAATAATTATTTTAAAATGAGAAAATTATTGGGAATTTGTAATTTATTTATTGAAAGTATTAACGAATATTAACGCCTAGAACGAATATTTTCAAATAAAAATGTATGACACGAAAACATGTTCAAATATCACGTTTAATTTTAACAAATAATTTTTACCTTTAATACATACTTAGTTTTATTAACCTATATATTTGTTTTATTTCCTCGCAAAAAGCATTGAAAAATGTTGTTAGAAACTTGAGCGTAAAAGGTTTCTCGAATTCGTGCCAATGAAAACCCTCGCTACGCTCATGTTTTCAATTTGGTCCTTATTCGTAAAACCTTACTTTCTGCACTCGCATCTTAAATAACTATTGTGAAAACATATAAAATTTTGTTCTTTTTCGTCTACAGTCAACTCGCGCATTGCGCCGCATTAATGCTACTTGAAAAAAAAAAAAAACCAAGTGTCATCATAATATATGAAAATAAGACTCACCATTTGTGGTCGCTGTGACTTTGGCCGTGGACGTCTGCGTGGTCGATGTGTTCGTTAAACTGTTACTCGACGCTACAGAACTGTCGTATTGCTGCAAAAGAGAAATAAAATTTATATAAAATGTTATATTTCGTAATAAGCTTCTGATTAAAACCTAAACACATCACCAGCCCTTTTACGTCCCCACTGCAGGGGCTCGGGCCTTCCTTATGGATGGTTAAGGAGGATGGGCCATGACCCTCCACGCTGGCCCAATGCGGATTGAAGGGTATTAACGACTGCAAATGCAGCCGGGACTAACGGCTTAACGTGCCTTCCGAAGCCCGGAGTAGCTCGAGATAATAATTTTCGGTCACCCATCCCGTGACCGACCCTTGCGAAAGTTGCTTAACGATTACGATCGCGGGCCGCGGCGCTTATCCACTACGCCACCGAGCTACTCAAAAAATCTCTAGATAATTCAGCATAACCAATGTAAAGTTTACGTAATACACATTTAGAGTATACCAACGATATACTCTCGCCTACATAACGCGATGGTCACAGACTAGGCCGAACGATGGGTACCTGCGGCTCCTTGTGCTTGGGCGGCGTGTGGGGAGTGTGCGGCGTGTGGGGCGTGTGGGGCGTGTGGTGGGGCGGCTGGTGGTAGTAGGGCGCGGCCGTGTACAGCGCGCTGCCCGAGTACGCGCCGCCCGACGACGACGTCTGCTGCAACACGCATGCACGCACATCTACACTCACTCTATGGCCCACCCAGTGATGGCCGAATGCCCGGCCGTTTTGCCCGAATCGGCTCTTTTCCCGATAAGCGCCCATAAATTCCCACCCACTAGGCATTTATCTGAGCAAGATCAACTAAAGTTGTGTTTTGTTGTTCAAGATAAGTAAATATATATTGATTTTCATCGCTTAGCATAAACTATTAAAGAAAACACTCACTACGAAAGGTTTACGAAAATTCAATCTCTAGGGGAATAAAGGTTAAGTGTTAATGAAAGTATCAATTTTTAACCGACTTTAAAAAGGCGGTTCTCAGGTTGACCTGTATGTACGTTTATCCGCGATTATCTCGCGTTTAGCTGAATCGATTTTACATGGAAGTCCACACGCAATGGCTAAATAAGTGGTTAAATAGGGGTTTTAAATTTCCTCCACAATATTACCAAAATTATTATTTGCAGTGTAGTAAAATAAAGCATATATTATTATTATTTATCTAAATAATTTGTTTTATTTCACGAACAGCAACATTCTTGCCGGTTGAAAAATAAGTCATAAAATAACTAAAACCGTCATCAAAATAAAATACATATCTACCAATACGTACGACGCAATTGATAAAAAATAACAGATTGTCAATTTTAATTTTCAGTAGGTATAAAAAAAAAAAACAACGTTCTAGATTTCCTTCGTTATAATTCTATCTATCTAAGCTATCCCCTAAGGGAGAAATATCCACAATCACTGATAAATATATTTATGAATTTTTAATCAGCAGCTCTAAAATAAAGTTTCACGTTTCTAATTTCAATATTGACGGACTCCTATACAAACTTGCAACACTTATTTCGCCCCTCTAAGGTTAAAATTTCTTGAAACGGTGAAGAAGATGTCAACTCATTTTTTATTACTAACCTTTTTTTGCTTTAAAACTGACTGTTTTCCATATAAACTTCCAACAGTTTTTTGTTTGGCAATGATGAATAAGTTAATTAATCAGAACAAGTTCTTTTTTAAATATAGATTAACTAGTCTTCCACCAGCGGCTTAGCCCGCGTGATTTTCATCCCCTGATATAGCCCCTTAGGGATCGCATTTCGTGAAATTCCGTCTTATTAACACCTACGTCCTAAAAAGAACCCGCATGCTAAATTTGAAACTCCTAGCACTTGTTGTTGCTGAGATTTGGTGATGAGTGACCTTTTACTTATATAGATAGATTACGAACCTATTTACGTCATAATAATCTATACTAAATTATTCATTACTTTAAAATAATTAAATATTAATAGCTAAATCATTTATATAGTTGTCTATTTATTATAAATCTTGTTTTAAACAATATAAAGCCCTCCTATCGGGCATTTATCGGGCGTTTATCGGGCATTTATCGGGCGTTTATCGGACAAATAAGATTTATTCCCAATATGCCTGGGTTTTTCCCTTTCTGCCCGCCGGGCTGCCCGCCTTTGCCCATCTCTAAACCCACCTGTTGTCTAGTGGGTAGACACACTCTACACGGAAACTGATCAATCTTCATTATAAAATTCTTAAAACTGCAATTACATCGGTCAGTGACCTTGACCATAAATTTTATATCGAGACTGAAGTGGGAAACTGTTGAATAATTGTTCGGCAAAATATTTCTTTGTCCTACAATTTTATATAAATTTTGTTATTTAACAATTTTTGCGAGCGTTTAGCGATAATTAATTAAAAAAATATATAAAATTGGCTCGACTCCCATGAAAGGCTTAAAATAACAGCTCCTATTTAAAAGTATACGATTCCTTCGTTTCAAACATTCAATATAGGGCGGTGTAGTATGCCCATATTAGGAATCACGTCCTATATGTTACCAAAGATTACTTCCCTCGTCAGCAACATATATCACGTATACTTAACATCCCCCCTTTATGTTAGGTAGTGTAATAAGCTAAAGATTGTGTTAGTTTAATAGAGATTACAAACAACGTTAGTATCGTTTCACCCAACCGCGCGCCACTGTTTCACCGGTCGCCGAACAGAAATAATTTCGTATGAAACATATCTCTCACTCGTCCGCTAACATATTACTGTGGTCGCACAGAATCATCTAGTCTTTTTCACAGTAAAATAAACCTAAAATATTTGAGATATCTATCAAAACGGCACAAAGTTAAATGTACCAAATTAGTCTCCGTTCGGGTCGCGGAGTATAGCTGATATTCGGTCAGTTGCACAAACATTCCATTAAGGTTTAACGACGTCTTTAAGCTCTAATGAATGGCAAAATTTGTATCGGTAATGTCGCTTTAGACTTATGATAATTTTAATGGACGTTTGTGCAACTGTCTGATTGTAAGTTAGTGGTGTGTGGAGTCACCTGGTAGGAGTTGATCATGGGCTGGTACTGCGTGAGCGTGACGCTGGAGGGGTACTGCGAGCCCGAGATGGCCGACGCGCCCGTCAGCGACGCGTTGCTCGAGTTCACCTGCACAACACGGAACCACCACTACTGAATGATCCCTCGTACTCGCGGAATCACAGCCGAAAAACGGACAAGATTTCGCGAGTTTAATCAAGAATTTATAGGATTCCGAGAGTCAAAAGGCAACTTTTACAGTAGTTTTGAATACCAAACACCTTTTCAGCAGTTGGTTATTTGATCAGCAAAATAAAAATTATTTCTAATAGGTATCTGAGAGGAATTTTCTTTAATCGATAACAATACCTCTATTTAAGTCAAGTCAAATTAGCTAATGTGTTTTTAGATTTTGACCTCTATTTGTTTTTTTAATAAATGTTTTATCATCGAAAGACCTCTGTTTGATATAACATGAGAGACTAGTCATTTATTACATTATTCAATTAGATAAGTTTACTACGTAAGTTAAATATATTAATGTTAACCTAAAATTTTAATATTTTCCAAATTTATTAAAACGTGACTATTTGCAAGAATAAACACACAAAACTGATAATCTCACGAGTTATGAATTATGATATTCATATATACGAGGTCTCGCTCGAACCCAAATCTCCCGAGATTACTTTCCCTAGTCAGCACGTCACATCGTATACGGTACCTGCGGGGGGTACACCGTGGCGGGGTACACGGCGGGGTGGTGCGAGACCGCGTGGTACACGCACGCCTGCGTGGTGCTGCCGGCCGCCGCGGTCGCCGCCACCGTCGCCGTCACGCTCTGCGCACACACTCGATACGTTACTACGTTGCGACACGCCCGCCTGACGGTCGACATTAGATAAATCTCGCAACATATTTGGTCCCTTCGCGAAGCTGTATTTTGTCTATTCGGTTTCGATAGAGATCACGAACTGATACAAAATAGCATTTAAAAGTGACTAACGAAACCTATCAAAGTTAGTGAATAGTCACGGGTTTTTTATTAACTTTGGGGTAGTGTAAAAGCCACGTTCGATTCGTGCCGGGAATGAAAACAATTTTTCATTCCCGGAGCGAAATCGATTTCTGTGTCGTCTCGATTTTTTTCTGTGCATCTTCACCATCTGTGCACGTGCGCAGTGTCATCGTGCCTTAGTGCTCGATCGAGCATATAAGGCTCGGCGTCGGTATGTCAAATTAATCGACCGAGCTCGCGTCAAGCGAAGCTAAATAGAAACGATACTAACATAATGATGAGCAAATTCGAACTCGTCCCGCGTAAAACTTACCTTTGGCCTTTGATGGTAATGATGCGTAGGCGCTGTGGGCGTGGGTTCACTAACTGTCAGTTGTTTCATCGATGCTGTCAATTGTTTTTCTAAAGCTGAAAACGAGAGAAATTAATCATTAATTATCCTCTGTTTGTCGTAAAATTGTCATGACATTAATTTAAGTATTCATCGTATAGTACGTACGTACGTAAAAAAACTAATGTTAAAGAACAAAGTTAATAAATTATAATAGATCTTTAGGAACCGTAATTTCTATTCATCGGCGATCATATCGAGATGTTTGGTCTATCTGTCACCGCTCAGAGAAACCGAGAGGCTTAAACGAAATACCGTCGATCTATGTAGCACAGTTTATACACCAGAGTCGATATCGAACTCGACCTGTTCTAGCACTGTGCAATAGGGTATTCTACTCTATATCAAATAATACTTGTGTTTATTTTAATTAAAAATAGACATAAAACTAATATTTCGGAAAAATAAACATGTTGTTGCCTTAAAATTAAATCGAAATTTAAACTTTTTTTATACCTGCGATAAAGTGTCCGTAATATTCATGATTGTGAAATGTACACAAACAGATGCATAGAGTAGACGATTAAAAGATCTCAATACAAACAAGAACAGTGCCATCTAATGATCGATTACGAAACAAAAATATATAAATAAATAAGCTAAGAACAGTGCCATCTAGGAACTTGATTTATAATCGACCGAGTTAATGGGCATATCTTTGTGACTAATCTGACAGCTATCGCCACAGTGAAGTCACACAATGGCGGGTCGTGTTTCAAGTCACGTGATAAAGTTTGTTCGCTTTTTTATTGAACTTAATTATAGTTGATAATACATAAATAAACGTTTTATTAAAAATATATATCAAAAATGCCCAATAAACAATAACCTCTGGCTGCTATCGGCTGTTTTCTTGGCTCCATTTTTAAGCACTCACATTCATTGATTGGTAATTCATAATTGCTATATTGAATGTCAGTGACTCATCATTGCTATATTGAGCGTTACGTACCCGTGGGCGCGGAGGCGGGGGCGGGGGCGGGGGCGGGGGCGGAGGCGGGGGCGGGCTCGGCCGCCTCGCAGCCGGGCGCGCTCTCGCTCAACTGAAATACGACACACGCGTCACTACACCATACAACTCGCCCGGATTAACGTGCGATTTGTTCTCTATTAAAATTAGGTAAATTTTGAACCGCTCTTGTGAGGTTAAAATCATATCCGGGAAGATTATCCAGTTATAAGAGGTGGGGTCGGTTTCCACCTCTGTTGCATCGGTGTTGGAAAAAATGCGTTTCTTCGGAGGAGGCCCTGGCGTTTTGAATGTAGACGAGATTTCGTTATCGGAGAAATAGAATAGGCCCTCGGATGTCATGTCGTCTCGTCCGCGGGGGACGTACCGCTCTTCCCCCGAAATATCAATCCGTTAACCGATCCGCCTCGTCCTTCCTCGTAGTTCATAGGACAGGGCGAAAAAGCGACCTCTACTAAATTTCTTATCAGTTTTCTCGTTCACAGGTAAATTAAAGAACCAAGGGCATGATCTTTCCCGGTTCCCGGCCGCTCAGAACATTCCGGCTAGACTGATCGAATGATGTTGAAATTGAATTCGCCCAAGATGCGCACCCCAGAGGAGATGTGCTCGATAAAACCGATCTTTTAGAAAATTGTGAATTCCTTTCTTTACTACTCTTTTGAATAATTTTGACTCATTATTTAACTAGATATATAATATATAGCTGTGATGTCGGATAACTCACCATGTTATCAGCGGACTGTATACAAGGTGGGGGAGAAGACGTCTGCTCGGTACTGGCTGCGGGACTCTTAACATACAAAACACACATGTATTATTTAAAATTAAAATAAAATTTAAAAAAATAAACTACGGTTTCCATATTTAAGATTGAACTTGACATAGTTACGTATAAACAGATTGTAGAGGCAGATGAAGGTTTTAAATCAATCGATCGCACTTGAAATTCTGGACATAAAATATAAAAAAATACCTGCGCGTCCTGTAACGCGTCGGGCTCCAACGCGCCGAACTGCACGTCCAGGAACACCTCGCCCCCGCCCGGCATCTCCACCGCTGACGACGGGATCTGACACCACACACATATATCTATCTATTCACTTACATCGAGAACAAATATTTCTTACCAAAAATAGAATACATCATTGAGAAAGAATAAACAGTTATACAAAGATAAATGCATCCCTCTCGTCTATGTGAAATTACAAATAGAAAAGGTTAAATTACCTTGGATGGAGGCGGCACTCTCGCCCGTTGAGGTTTACGTTGACCGCTCACGTCCGATGATGCGTACACGCCGTAGTTCGTCGTGTACACGCCTACGTAATATCATAAAAAGATTAAGAAAAATCTTAAAGGTATCGTTAATTAACGATTAATTTTTAAATCCATTCAAATAAATTAAGCATTTTTTGGGAGTTAGCCTATCTGATTAAACTACTTGCAGATAGAGAGGAAAGAAAGTAAAAAAATAAAACTTGATCTTTATGGCTATCACTCGATGGCAACATTAATTTACAAACAAGGTAAACACATATCAAACTAACGTACAAATAGAAGATTTATTTTCGTATTAGATTTGTAGCGTGTGTGCGTTATGTGTAATGTGTGGAGATGTTATAGTTACTGTTGTCGTGCCGCTGCGACTGCTGCGTGAGCTGCGACAGGTACTGCGACTGCGCGGCCGACAGTACGCCCGACATGCCCATCGGCTGCAACACAACACTTCAACGGTCACCGACCACACTCGACACTGGTACAAACCAGTGATGCCACTAATACCAATATACCTATTCCCCGAATATTGAAAATTACCTATTAAAACACTGTATGGCAAATAACGGTTAAGCTGCGAGCCGTGTATAAGCGAGCGCACCTACCTCCTATATTTCCGTTTATTTAATCATAAAAAATTAAAACTAATCAATACATAGTTGTCTTTTTGACATTGTTACAAATTTTTTGCTTCATATTGTCAGTAGTATAAGTCTATCTCTGAGTAAAAAAGATCAGGGACCAGGTTTACAGAAAATAAAATTAAAATCAAATTGTAAGTTATCGCTTCGGTACAAAAGTACTTATAATACACCGGAGAATATAATGCGTCCAGATGATATACGACATAGGAGTTCGATAGAAAGGTTCGTTCAGTAGGCACACTAAGGAGCGCAAGCTCACCTGGTGGTGGTAGGAGTCCATGTGCGCGTCGGGCGCGGGGGCGGGGGCGGGGGCGGACGCGGGGGCGGGGGCGGGCGGTATCGCGTGCTGCGGGCTGCCGGCCGCCGACTGCCGGCCCAGCTCGCCCATCGCCTGCACAGGAGTGAGTTTAATAACTAGAGAACCGATCAAATACAACAGACGCGCCAAAAAGCGTAGCACTCTTCCGAAATTAGGACGTAGCTTTGCAAATTACATTTATAATATATAAAATAGGTTGCGTACGTTTGTTTCCCTCATATCATCGATTAAACTTTAAATTAAACAAAAACAGAATATCTGTGGACGACAGAATGACCGGAAAAATGCGTTATGATGTATAAATGAACGAGTAACGTTGACATATCTATAAAATCGATTAATAAATACTGTAACTTAAAAAAATTCTTTAATATACCTATTCAAAATCGAGAAAATTAGTAGCTGTGCACTGTCTTTTTAATCGACTTTAAAAAATAAAGGAGGAGGTTATCAATTTGTATTTGTTCCCATTTTAATTTGATCCAGATCTGGCAATGGCATTTATGAGAAAACCATATACTTAAATTTGCATTAAGTATGCGTGATGTTTGTTACCCCAAAACTCAATTTATCACTAAAACGCTTGAAAAAAAACTCAAGTCGGGTGGTTAATATTTAATTAACTACAGAACACCTCAGCCCTACTTATATGTTTCTTATAAAAAATTAACCGCTTTTAAGATAAGTATTATTTTTCACTTTTTAAATTTGAAGTTCCACTTTTTTTATAAAATGTTTTTTATCATTTATATTAGAAGACCTAGAAATAAAACTAGTTTAAATTATGGGTGCATAAAATTAGTCTCGCAACACAAATTCCCGATTTTGTTTGATTTTGAAGAGCAGTAAGTGTTTAAATGTTATCGCAATGTATCTCGTCTCAATAGGTTCAACTGAAACTTCACACATATTTAGTATGGCAATGCACAGTTATCTAAGTGATATTATTTTAAGTCTTATATGAGGAGCGCCCTAAATGCGGCTTAATATTATTTCAATCATGAGAATATACTGAAAAAATTTAATTGTACTTTCATGATATGAATATCAAATGGTAGGCTAAGAAAAAATTTATCTTAATTCTAAATCCAATACGGTGGATCACTGAAGATGGTGGACTAGTGATCTTTAACCACTCTCATAGCATGGATATCGAATGAAACTGTTAGCCCAGAAGATCATTGTAAAAAGCTGATTTCATTATAATTGCAATAAGATGGATGCAGGCCGGTATGTGAACAAAGATATTAAGTCCTAATGAACTCTTTTTTTATATAATGAAATCATTACATCCTAAAATTTCATCAAAACATTATCCTCTTAAAGAAAATTGATGAGCATTGTTTTTAAACCTAAATATCAATGTTAACTCTAAAATTCAATAATATTGAATTTGATTATTATTTTTTTTTCAATAGGGAAAACCACTTCTGTAGTTTTTTGCGCACTGATTTCAAGGTATCATCGTCTCTGAGGTCCTGAGTTCGATTCCCGGTCGGGTCAAAGTAGAAAATGAATTAAACCTATTTAATTTATAACCACACAAAATTTCAAAAAAAGGCACCCATATGGTAGGGAAAATTGAAATTGAATAGTGGCAACACTGCCGACAAAATGTGAAAATTTTATTTGTGGTTATTAAATATTTTTATTTTCTGAAACTAGCTTTACTTTTGTTTATATTGTCAAAAATATTAATGAGTCAAGTGTGAAACTTAATATTCTTTCATATTATGTGTATTTGTGAAAAAGAATCCTATTTTTTTCACACTTATTTGTTCTTCGTTTTTGAGGTGCATTTTTTTTGTGCTAGAAAAGGAGTTGAATGGGTATTGAAAAACGAAAAATCTAAGACAAACCTCTTAGTTCTAGTAGATTCACATTTTTGGTATGTATTGCGGTATCTATTACACATTAATATCATTGCTGCACAGGCACAATCACACCACTCTAACATATCTACCTACGGCCACCATCTGGTCGATCGCGTCATATCAGGGGATGGCGATATCAACATCGAGGACGCACAACAGTTCTATAAACACCGTGCCTTGAAGTGGTCCGACCTCGGCGCTTTCCCCAGCGGGGGAACTGGCGCAAATAAATAACATAGAATGGCCACCGTTAATTCAATAAATTCATAATATAATCTGTTAAAAAAAATAACTAATTACACCACCTCCCCCACTCCTGAGCTCTCAAATAATCGTAACTAATGTAACCAAAAAATTTGATTCATAAAAAAAATACATTATCATACTTTTAATTTTAAAAAATGTAGACTGTAGAAACATGTAGAAGAGGGCACCGACTCCGCATTACCTTGTTGCATATTAATATGACTATAATATATTATTATTTCTATTGCACTCACGTCTACAATGGGATGGTGCGCGTTGTGGTACGTGTAGGTGGGAATGTTCTCCGCTGGACCGTTGGTTTCGGGCGTGTCCCAGTCCTCCTGCGAACAAATTAATAATCAATTAAATGCAGGTGTGAAACATTGCAATTCGCAACACACGGCCTTCGATACATTATTATCGTAGTCTATATTAGCCCACTCGTAATGTAAGGTTTTACGTTTTCAAATAGGCATGGGTTTAGACGTAGCGCGAATTCAATTTTTGACACATGTGTAAAAAGTTTTACAATTGAAATTTAAACTCGATACGAATTCAAAGATTTTTCAGAGCTGGTGTATTGAATTATAGTGTGAATATGAAACTATAATAATTAAACGACGGAAACTTACCGTTGCGTTAATCTGTGACGAGTCAACCTCACCCGCCGCATTTTGGACGCTGGAACTGGGTGTGAATACCTGAATACAAGGTGTAACAAACGTTTGTCTTCATTTCGTTTTAAGAATAAAAGCGGAATCTTCATCCAGCTCGAAGGAGTATCATTCAATTATGTAAATAGTGAAAGTCCAAGTGCTATAATTATAAAGAAGATAGAAAAAAAATCAATAGATTTAAGGATTATGTCATACCTTTGTGTCTGATAGAGATCCCGACCATTCTTCGTTGTCCCAGTCTTCTGTCGTAGGAAACGGATCACCCATATTACCACCTATTAGTTCGAAAAAATGATACTATTATGGTCTGCCTATTTCTCACGTTTAATTATGTTAAAAATCGACGCGTCGAACCTGACGCTTATATCACTGAGGTCCCGAGACCGATCGAATAAATAGTTCCAGAGATCGGGATGAATCTTTGAATGAATTTTTTAGTACAAAAACATATGTGTCGTCGGAATCTGATTTCTGCTTATCTAATCGATAAGCAGAAATCAGATTCCCGAGGCGCAAAAAGAGCGTGAATTAGTGGTTTTCGTCAAGACAAACAACGCATCGTAGAGTATGTATTCTACTCTACGATAATAGCGCAAGGATATGGACACACGAGGCGGGTGAACAGATCTTATTATTTTTTTGCTTTATTTCTATTCGACAAAATATATTATTTATGTACGTCGGTCCGTCAAAAGACTACCAACAGATTTCAGTTAAGGTGTCAAACGACAAAGTTTTGTTTGTTTCTCCGTCCGTTCAAAGAAGCGGTCGGGGCGTACCTGGCGCGTTGCTGTCGGCGTACGCGTCGGGGCGCAGGCAGCGGGCCCCGCGCGCGCCCCGCCGGCCGCCGCGCGCGCCCCGCGCCCCGCCGCGCCCCGCCCCCGCGCGCCCGCGCCCCCGCGCCGCGCCGCCGCGCCCCGCGCCCTCGCCCTCGCCCCGCCCTGTTGATCGTCCGATACCGCTCAAAGATACAGGTCGGTGTTGGCGCGGTAGAGTGATCGATCGTATTAATATATGCACTCGACGCTCCGCCGCAAGCTATCGAATGATTTCCCGCGGAAACCCGTGTGTTCTTCTCATCACTCGTGCTCCTTTAAATTACATTGAACCTCCCACCGATATTCAGAGATATAATAAAAATTTTGAAAAAATCTTCGATTTCCGCCCAAAATGAACGATCCTATGAATAATAAAAGATTCTTTATATTAATTCTCACATTTTGAAAGATACGACCGCATCAAAACCGACCTCCTGATACTATAAAAACGAACTGAATCGCAATAACGAAATATAAATAACGGTTTTAGGTTAAATTCATTACACCCTAGATTGACAACACTCAGATTTGTTACATCGGTAAAAAAAATAGCACTAAAAATCTTTAAGAGATGTAATCGCATCGAGGATAGTTTATTACGAATATCTTTATTGGCAACAAGAATGTAGAAAGAAACCTGTTATTTTTTTCTGGTAGTGTTTAAAATAAAATGGGGTATATTCATAAATATTTAGATTACTAATAAATAATGTATCTCTTGCCTTTTGTACCGTTACATGAAAATAGAACATATAGACAGCATCATAAATCTAGACAGTTCCAACACATTAGCAATATATACATACAACAATATTCGTTTTAAAGTGCCATGACGTCATAGCGACGCCATGACAGAAATAGCATTCTCGCGAGAAATTTTGAAAATAAAATTTATTTTTAGTTTTCAACCTATCATATGAATGCTATTTTTTTAGATATATTTCATGTATATAAATAATATATACATATAAAAAAGGGTTGTCTTCACCCCTAAAGGGGGAAGGAGCCCGACAGTCGAGTATGACTCACTGGGCCTGGCGCTGGGTGCTCTGGCGCGCGCCTCCACCTCCCCGTTGCCGGCGGCGGGCGGTTTTTTTTTCTTTTTCTCACTGGTCTGCCACTCGCCCTGGAACGAATACCACTAATAAAAACTTCCTCGCATACACTTATCGTAGGAAATGGACAGGAATATTGAACAATTATTCATTCGTTTTAAATTCGTCTCTGTCGTCCCAATTAAACATAATGCTCACCGCTGCAGATAATTTTTGGATATATTAGTCAACTGATATGTTTTCTATATTACTGGTAACTAGTAGTAGGTAGTATCCCCACTGTACCTAAACAAGCACATGCATCTCATTAAGAGACATTAAACATCTAAACATAGCCAATATTATTTTATCATCAAACCCAATAGAAAAACTGTACAATGAAATATAAACGAATTTTCG